CCCCAAAACCCCAAAACCCCAAAACCCCAAAACCCCAATCAAAATATAAAAGTTGAAACTTTTTGCATAAATATCAGAATAAAATATGAGCATTTCTTCAGTAAGATCTGCTGTGAATAATTCTATAGGAAGCCCCTAAAGCAGGGATGTTCACCAAGGTCTTTAAAAGACTTGAAATTGCCATTTTCGTACTCAAGTAAGCCTTTCACTGGTGATATATTTAGCTATTATGACTACTGCTATGATGCTGTTAAATTATGGAAGCAGCTCAATGTCTTCACTAGACAGCAGATTGCAGATGATGAGGTTCATTTCATAAATCAAATTTCACATAAAAAGAAGTTTGTTCTCTCCAGTTTTGACGAGATTGCTGTGAAGTTCATGTCCCATTGGATGAAGTACTTTCAACTTGAAATTTATTCTTTCCATCCAGAGGCTCAAAGTCGTTTTTTGGACTTCCTTGAAAATCTTGACTCGAACGTTTACCCAAATCTTAGTGTAAAAGATATGATTATTTCAGAAATTAAAATCAGAAATGAGCTTGAAACTTTTGACAGGATCTCCCAGATCCTCCTTGAAAATCTTCCTTTAAAGACACTGATAAACTGTCCTACATTACTCAATGTGAAGAAGAAAATGTTTGTCAACAAATGGGATATGCTTGAAGAAGAAATTACTAAGATCAACTCATTCGAGCAGCCATGGGTAAAGATGCTCACAGTTTCAAATTATCCTTCCCTAAACAGCTTGAATAATTTCTTGTCCGAGCTCACTAAGCCAGTCAGGTATCTAAATATCACAGAATGAGACTTGGTTTTCTCCCATGGATCATCTATATTCACTAATAACAGAGAAGAGCCTCTCATTTTCAACGAAAGAGTCAGTGAGCTACTCCACCAAATTCACATTTCCTCTGGAAGAATAGGCAGCTCTGTATGGAACGATTTCAGTAACAACTCTGTTGACCCCAGAGAGAATGACGTGAAGACCAAAACTCTTGTGGGTAATATGAATCAAGTGCTCTTCAACATTCTGAGATCCATCAATTTTGATACAGAACTAAAATTTAATGTGAACACAGATGTCTATGACAACCTACCCTCAGGTAAGCTTATTGGCTCAATTTTTGATAGCTAATGATGATAATCTGAAATTATCACTTCATTTTCAGAATCCACAGTTCAGTATTAAGTTTGGTGGCACAATTTATGAACTGTGCTGAGACTCTATGCTAATCTGAGTTAAGGATAAGCAAGCAAGTTACTTTACTCGCTCGAAATTGACTCAAGAAGAATCTAAAGATAGTAGCATTACCCCAGCCCGAGATGGAATCTTATTCTTTGATTACTTATTTTCATTCAACATAAAGAACCCGAGAGTTTGCAGAGCTGTTTTCAAAGATGAACATTTTGTTTCTGACCAAAAGATAATGATCTTTGAAAAATACCTAACTAAGATCAGCATTGAGTTAATGCCTAATCTCTTGAACAACTTCCCAGCAAACACTTCTGAGTAAGATTCTCTATAACATCTCATAGATCTGACCCTTTAAGAGCTGAAATAATGAGTCAGCCAAGCCCCATCCCTTCATTAATCAAAGCGCACGAAGAAAATATCAGATTCGATATACCTCCTCATCAGTAAGTTTCCTTTTTTAATCTCTAGACTCAGAGATTATCCAGATATCCCATACCAGATCTGATGTAGTTTCCCAGATAGCTGACTTGAGTCTCTCCAGAGCGAATTCTGGGACTTCCAGCTAATATCTCTATACCAGATTAAGAGCTGCAGCTCATTAGATATCGAAATTGACAAAGATGGGAATGCTTACTTTGTCAAAGATGTGCCTACCCTTCCTATTAACAAATATTGCAAGGAGCTGTATCTCCGTGTGCACGAGAGCATTGATATCAAAAGCACATTCACGCATTTGAGTAAGCTTTACAGTTTAAAAATAGTGACTAAATTTCCCAACTTAAGAGTCTTCAAATTCTGGTCCCTCCCAAAAAATCCCAAAACTGAAAAATACATCGAATGGGCTATAAAGCATTGTGAAAAATTGGAAGAGCTTCATCTCAAAGATTTCATATGGAAGAAGAATATCTTAGGAGAGAAAGCCTAACCAAAGCCTCAGGGGTTGAATTTTTCAAAATTCCTCAAAAATATTGGGGTTTTGGGGTTTTGGGGTTTTGGGGTTTTGGGG